CCTCTCTCTCCTCTCCTTTCTCTCTCTGTAAATATATAGGACGTTTTTTCCCACACGATGGTCGGACCGCGTACATCAGGGTTTTGGAGGTGGATGGTCCTGGTGGTGATAGCGACAACTGCTTCCGTGACTGGGCAAGGTGACACTAAACATCATTTTCAACTAGGGGTTGATTTTGAAAAATGCTCGCTTGATATGAACTGCATTAGCCGTATTTTGATGATAAATGCGACACCACCCCGGCCGAAAAAAAACCTTTCCTGCTAGTTTCTCTTTTTTGTTTTAGGGGATCAAAATGGCTTGTTCGTGGTTGCACAGTCGTCTGCAGAAGAGGATCCAGGCTTCAACGTCACCAGCTCATACATCCTCGTGAACAACCAGAAGACCGTGATTGGTCAGAATTGTGAGTAGACCTAACAAGAACTAGAAAGGCCAATATTTGCTTTGGAGCAAATATAGCGATGGGTTCACCACATTTTACCACATGGCAGGGAAAGAATGAGAAACACAAGGGAAAACAATGCTTTACATTGATATAACTATAGTATGAAGTAACATACAACTAAGACTACAACAGTTGGATAGCTATTCCCTACATTATTGGTTAGGATTGCATAATGCAAACTGTTGATTTTCAAGATAAAAAGAAGCGTTCATAGCCCGCATTCCAATGCTGGAGCAGGAAAGCTTAAAATACCTACCAAAACACTTGAATACAGACATACTGTCAGTATGGCATGGCTCTGTGCAGGTGTAAATGAAGTTAAGCCAGTTAAATCCCAACAGCCAATCAGCAAGGAGAATAGAGGAAAGCTGCATGCCTATTGGTTGATGCCTTGCATGCCATTGTGATGACTCATGTCCAAATGTGGTAAACACTGCACACTTACACAGTAATACATTAGCTATTACACAGCCAAAAAACTCAAATAAAACCATTCTAAAAGCCTGTATCACAATAATTTAAAAAACGCCTAGGGGTATTTGCCCACTGTACCTCCATACCAAATTTCAGGACCTTAGGCCCTAAAATGAAGAAGCTGAATCCATTTAAAGATATGGCAGGAGGAGGAGGAGGAGAAGAAGGAGAAGAAACATCAGAAAAAGCAATATGGTTTCACCACACCACTTCGTGGTGTGGTGAACCCATAATTATCTTTATTGTGCTCGATATGTTTCCATCAATTAGTACCTTGGGAAGATATTTGTTCTTTTTTTTCGACCGTTATGACTTTGTACGCGTGCGCGCACGTAGTGCGTTGGAATTAACATAAGTTTATCCCATTCAAAAGACAATTTTGAAACCAGTTATAACAATCCACGCATTATCGAAGACTTCGGCATTTTGAATCAGGTAAAATGCAACAAAGAATTTTGACCACAGTTTTGTATGCATCAGCTTCTCCATTTGGACGTGGACATCAGGTCTTCATTTTGAACGAACAGAACGGGCAGGTTTTAGACAAGATGGTTTTCGACACTGATCCGGATGGAGGAGGTGCTGAAGCCGCACAACGACTGCTGGACTATCTGAAAATCGTTCAAGAGGTGATTATTGTTGATATACGGGTACTCCAACAAATGTTGATGTGGTGGGCACTGCAATATAACAGGGCCTGATGGCGGGTACAGTGGATTTTGAAACATAAGCTCATTGCTATGCACAGTACCCAACAGCGTAACAGCTTTAGATTATCAGAAATACTTACGTGGAGTTAAGATCTCCTGTCCCTTATCAAGATAGACATAATATACGGTGTCTCTGGTTTTTGAAGCAAAATGATCGTTCTATGAAACATACTGTTTCCGATTGACGTTTCTACAAAACTTGACAACTTAGATGTTAGCATCATGATTACTTCATCACTATCACCTTTTCCCATATTGCTACAGGGACGGATAATAATTGTCGTTGTTCATGACAACGGTAACACCCTGGTCAATCTATCGCCGTACGGATCTACAATTACAACAACTGCACTAGGTACCATATCTCTTATTAATTCTTATGATTAGGGATAACGTTTTATAAGTTATATACCACCAAAATTTCTTGAGGGAGATCATATCTTTCTGGTATGCCTAGAGAACATGAAAACGTTTGAAGTAAACATTTTCGATTCTTGTGCAATCAGCAAGGTTATCACCAAGCGTCTATCGATGTTTATTGCGGAAAGACAGGCGCCCATGTATACAGCATATACAGAAGACGTCTTTTCAAAACAAAATAAAGAAACAAACTTTCATAGTCCAAAGCTGTTACTACTGCTGCTGATCCCTTTCCTTGACGTTTTTAATATCTGCTATTTATGATTTGAACAAAGTAATTTGTTTCTTTTTTTCTTGTCCCTATGTAAGAAGGTGTACATTTTCAACCTAACAAACGTTGTTTCAAAGATCATTGCATGCTGTTCAATGTAATTAGCCACATTTTATAACGTAGTACAGTACCATGCAGTGGTATAGTTGTCAAGTCTTCACAATCGTACATTGAATATGTCCCATGATAGGGTTCAGAGTGTCCTATGCCATGATCACTCAGAAGGGACCCAAACCATCCTGGTTCGTGGAGAAAAGGAGCGCTGCAGGTACAGGACCAACTCGTATAGATGCCTCCATACCACCAGGTAAAGAAAACGCAATTTCATTCATCCTTTGAAGCCTGCATGGGATGATATATGGTATTATTTGTATAATTGATAAGAAAATTCTATAGTTCCTTTTGCAAATTGTAAATCATTGTCACCTGTTCCAGTATATGGTTAACGATACTATGAGAATGGGTACACAAGGGCTACGATGCTTCAAAATAGCTTGCGATGTGAGACACACGGGCGTGACTGGACGGACAGGTAATACCCGACCGCATTTGGTGCATGAACCTTACCTTGCATCACTACAATGTTTCGCATCGTTATTGGTAACGGAAAAAAACGTTACGTCACTGCAATATTCATAATTAGCCCAATGTTGCTTGGATCACAACATGCATCGTGGACATATTTGATTCAAAGTTATGATGGGCACATGTACATGTGATTGGCCTTTAAGTCCTTTATGTGGATGTTTAAATTTCTTAACTTGACGTTGATTTAAAAAAGTTCAAAACACGACGACTGCGTATCAGAAAATGTTTCTGGCAACTGGGGAAGACATTGTTCGTTTTTTATCTGTTCAATTGTAAATTACACCATATACTTTCATACTTAGTCAAAAAACGTTGTTGTTTTAACGACCACAGCCATTTTGAATACGGTTGCACAGTCGTCTGCAGAAGAGGATCCAGGCTTCAACGTCACCAGCTCATACATCCTCGTGAACAACCAGAAGACCGTGATTGGTCAGAATTGTGAGTAGACCTAACAAGAATAATCTTTATTGTGCTCGATATGTTTCCATCAATTAGTACCTTGGGAAGATATATGTTTCTTTTTTCGACCGTCATGACCATGTACGCGTGCGCGCACGTAGTGCGTTGGAATTAACATAAGTTTATCCAATTCAAAAGACAAGTTTGAAACCAGTTATAACAATCCACGCATTATCGAAGACTTCGGCATTTTGAATCAGGTAAAATGCAACAAAGAATTTTGACCACAGTTTTTATGCATCAGCTTCTCCATTTGGACGTGGACATCAGGTCTTCATTTTGAACGAACAGAACGGGCAGGTTTTAGACAAGATGGTTTTCGACACTGATCCGGATGGAGGAGGTGCTGAAGCCGCACAACGACTGCTGGACTATCTGAAAATCGTTCAAGAGGTGATTATTGTTGATATACGGGTACTCCAACAAATGTTGATGTGGTGGGCACTGCAATATAACAGGGCCTGATGGCGGGTACAGTGGATTTTGAAACATAAGCTCATTGCTATGCACAGTACCCAACAGCGTAACAGCTTTAGATTATCAGAAATACTTACGTGGAGTTAAGATCTCCTGTCCCTTATCAAGATAGACATAATATACGGTGTCTCTGGTTTTTGAAGCAAAATGATCGTTCTATGAAACATACTGTTTCCGATTGACGTTTCTACAAAACTTGACAACTTAGATGTTAGCATCATGATTACTTCATCACTATCACCTTTTCCCATATTGCTACAGGGACGGATAATAATTGTCGTTGTTCATGACAACGGTAACACCCTGGTCAATCTATCGCCGTACGGATCTACAATTACAACAACTGCACTAGGTACCATATCTCTTACTAATCATTTGTGATAGAAGTTAAAGCTGTATACGACCAAAAATGAATACCCTAGGCTGGTAGGCAGGTCGATGGTAGCCTGGGTGCCATCCTCCATAGTTTTCGCCCGCTCTCTATTGTTCCTGGCTACCACAGAGTATGGACTTGCTGACATATGGTGATGACGTCACGTAATGAGCTACCCTGAGCATCCCGCGCTGGGTGGGGCTTCATTTGATTGGCTGCGAATAAGATCTATCTTAACGTAGCCGTTTGGACGTCGAACGGACCCTAAAATCTGAACGAATATGTAGATTCAAGCCGTTATATATGTCAGCAAGTCCAGACCCGTGGTAGCCAGCAGCATTAGGGAGCGGGCGAAAACTACGGAGGATGGCACCCAGGCTAGATAAATGTCTAGAGAATACACGAAAGATTAAGATTTTGATTCTTGTCGAATCAGCGAATTGAGATGTCATTAAATACAAGGTAATCACCATGCACCTACGAGTATCTGGTTCATGTGGCCAAGACAGTCGCTGCTTGCATAGTCACATACTAGGCACTTTTCCAGACAAAGAAATAACCTTACATTGTCTAAAAAGAAATCTTCTTCTGTGCTTATCGTGGTGTTTTGATGAATTTGAACATTGAATACGTCCCATTATAGGGTTCAGACAGTCCTATGCCATGATCACTCAGAAGGGACCCAAACCATCCTGGTTCGTGGAGAAAAGGAGCGCTGCACGTACGGGACCAACTCGTATAGATGCCTCCATACCAACAGGTAAAGAAACAATTTTTTTTTCATAATTTGCAACTGTAGGTGGTGATGTCTTTCTTTAATTGATCATTGTTGGGACTTGCGGGGTTCTTAGATAGGATCTTTATTGTATCTTTATTGTTTCATCTGTGCGTTAGCAGGACAGGTGAAGCTACAATCATGCAAGTCAAAATTTTCTTCAACTCAGAAGTATCGTTCCTTTTGTTCTACGCACAGTGCCAACTACTAGTGCGGCGGCGGTCGGAACGTCTGTTGGAGTTGCCAGGATCATGGCCCTTATGTTCGTGACCGCTGTTCTGGTGTGGTACTGATGACACCGTGGTTGTAAGACGTTCTCATTCTACCAGAACTAGAGTTGAAAATACTGACAATGTAGGGTTATTGCTCAAAAACTTGACAGGCTTAGTAAGAGTACACTTTTCTTCAGAACACCAAATACTAAAGGCTTTCCATCAAAACTTAAAGGCAGTGTAGGGAACAATACTATAGCCCTATAGGGAAATTTATTATCATCGTCCGATAGTTTGGTTCCTCATGTTAACACAGAGACAGAGCACAGAACTTTAGTCAAAGCTGTCCATTTAAACGTATAGACAGTGCAGCTAGCTAACTTAATCATTATACACCTGGTCCACTAGTTTAGGCATCCCATCTAAATTTTGACACAGTGTAGGGAACTTTTATTCACCGATAATATAAGGGTCTAGATCTAAACTCAGCGTAGTGAACTTAATCTTTATACACCAATACTTAAAGCTCTCCAACTAAACTCAGTCTGTTCAGGGAACTTTATAATCATGCACTAATTGTTTCGGCTTTCCATCTAATCTTAGACACTATGTCATCATTTGCCAAAAATGTACTAGGTTCTCCATCTAATCATAGACACAGTGTATTGAATCTTACTATCATATACTTTTAGTATAGGCTCTCCATCTAATCTTAGACACAGTGTAGGGAATCTTATCATCATATACTAAACGTAGAGGCTCTCCATGTAATCGTAGGAACAAGGTAAGGAAATTTATCATCATATACTTATAGTATAGGCTCTCCATGTAATCTTAGACACAGTGTAGGGAATCGTATTATCATATACTGATATTATAGGCTCTCCATCTAATCTTAGGAACAATGTAGGGAATCTTATCAGAATGCATATACTAGTAGTATAGATTAAAATCAATCTAATCTTAGACAGAGTGTAGTGAACCTTATCATCATATTCTAATAGTATAGGCTCTGTAACTAAACTCAGATAGTTCAGGGAACTTTATTGGCATGCACTAATTGTTTACAATCTTCGTCTAAACTTAGAGACAGTGTAGTAAAATTTATCATCACCAATATTCTTTATTATCATACCAACAATAGTATGGGGTCTTCATTCTTTTTGCGTTTAGTGAGCTTTACCATTTTAACAATAATAGTATAGGCTCTCTGGTGACATTATCTGGTGAGAATAAAAAGCTTTCAATTAACGGCTACTGTTTAAATGTTTATCAGCTTTGATTAGGTAACAAGCTTAAGCATAGACAGATTGACAGGGCCTACTGAGTTGTAATGGTAGTTGATTTCTATTGAATAAATACTCCTAATGGCTCAAAGCGTTGTTCTTAGCTCATGCAAAAACTATCCTGCTATTGTCTAATATTTTCGAATCTGCCCATGTTTAAACAAAGTGTTTTCAAAGCTTTAAGGCAGTCTCAATAGAAGAAGCGAATGTTCTAGTTCTGTAGATACTATTTTTTTCTGAATCCTAAAGTAATGTTATTGGCAACTTGAAATAGACTTTCATCAACATTCTCGTAACCCCACAGGTACCCTCCAGATCAATTACAGCCAGGTGAAACATGTTATTTCGCAAACAACCATTGGGGAAACTTCAAAGCGGCAGCTCTTTTAAAAGAAGTCTTGGGTTTATCTTGAAAATCACAATTGCTATCTATTCCTGGGTACCTGTTTGTCAATTTATAATCTTAGCAAATTTGTGTTTCATTTGGTTTGGCCAAAAAGTGAATTTGACGTGTGGCAGCCCTCTTATTGATACCTAAGATTAAAAAAAAGCAGCGGCTGTTATGAATCCAGGGGTGATCTTGATAATAAGGTTTGTAATGTGTGATAGTTGTTCATCAGTTTTTCCGCTCAAAGCAAGACGAAATTGAGATATTAAAATATCTTAATTTCGTCTTGCTTGGAGCAAAATAACGACATGGATCTTCAGTAATGATCCAATTGGAATCCATGCTAAAGGTCGGCATTATCCCCATCATCTCCACACATGGGGGGTCTGCATGGAGGGCATGCGCACTACTCAGTTACTGGATGATAAATAGTACAATTTCTTGTTGACCTGAACAGTACTAGATTTTACAAATTTGTTTTCTTTTAGAAAATGATATTGGTCTCTGCTCTTCAGACTGACTTAAAGTTGATTATTTGCTGGTGAAAAAATTGGGTAATGTGACCATGGCTCAATATGCAAAACACAGGGTATAATGTGACATAATTCACTTACCAATTTATATTACTATTATAATTGTATTTATTAACAGAAACCGCAGACCGTTTACTGGGACGAAAAAGCCCAAGAGAGTCGTATTGATACCTGTTACAGTAAATTATTCAATTCATATATCACATGTTGTATTTGGATCTGAATTTATGCCTTTTACTTACATGATTTAATTAGGTGGTATCTGATCAATTGTTGTTTGTAAACTATATCTGTACTACACTAAGAACATGCATGGAGTAAAAATAATCAATGCTAAACAGTAAACACATAGACTTGATAATTTCATTGATAAGTGAACTGTTGTCTCTTGAAAACTGTGTTGTAGGTTGTAAGATGTAGATTGACAAGATGTATTGTGTTATTTCGTTTGATGAGTTATGGAAACATCTCGAGTTCCGTACATGCGGAATAAAGTGGGGCAATGGTGTCACATATCAGTGATATCTGTGTGTTGTTGTTTTTCCCGTCGAGCATTCAGATACATCTATTGTTACAGCAGTTACACTAGTGTCAATATGTGTTGAGTATGTACAAGTTGCGTGGGGCAATGGTGTCACATATCAGTGATATCTGTGTGTTGTTGTTTTTCCCGTCGAGCATTCAGATACATCTATTGTTACAGCAGTTACACTAGTGTCAATATGTGTTGAGTAGGGCTGCGGACCGGTACACTGTACCGGTCCAATACCGTAAAAATCGTTTCGGTACAGGTCCAAAATACCGGATCATGAAGTAACGAGTATATACCGAAATAGCTAGTTTACACCATGTATATGACTAAAGATAGGTAAATCCTACCACAAAGACGAAAAATTAGCACTGGAAAAGACGTAAACACCGTCGATTGATTTGAGATCCTCAGTCTCACGAGACATCGCGAGAGTGTGGCTGATCCAGGGTTGTGTTTGATGTTTTCTGAATAAAGATACTGACAAGTTGTCAACACTTTATTATTGTTTCTGTGTCATGATTGAAAAAAAGAACACGTGTTAATTTGTCAAATTGTTCAGGTACAGGTACAGGTCCGGACCTGTACCTAAACCTCTGTACCGGTACCTGTACCTGTACCTGATGTTACGTTTAGGTACGCAGCCCTAGTGTTGAGTATGTACAAGTTGCTCGATCAAGTTACATGTTTACTCCCACAGCAACATACAGCAAATACAGTCTAAGCTAATAGACTAACGAGGAACTCAGGAACCGGAGGGTTGCGAGTGCAGGACAGTGGAATAGTACAGAAACCGTGCGAAATTCACAATAACGAGTGAAACAAGAAATTCACAACATTATAAAAATAGGCAATGCTGTGATACATTCGATTTCTTGCTTGCTGACTGGTTTATTTGAACAAAATTGTAACAATCTATGTAGCTTCAAGCAAATAGAAGCTGCATTGTGGAATGTCATTACAAACGTGCACACACAAAAACACCCACACAAACCACCAACACACCCACACAAACACACTGAGTCTCTCGAAATATATCCCTTTGGTAAAACTCAAAGCGTACGTAATGCATAAAGTGAGGCGAAGCATGTGTGATTTTTTTTATAGCTGCAGAGGTTTGGGGCTTACGGAATCTTCATATGAAAGTTCGTTCTGTTAGCTTGATCGAAATTACATGTTCTGGGATGTTTATCCTGTTTACCGATGCACCGGATTCCTGAGTTGTACGTCAAGCAATTGAGTTGATCTAGTAGTTTTTTTTTTACTTGAGTTTTTTTTGGCGACGCCTTTGGGGCGGAGGCATTTGTGCAAGTACTACGATCGCTTTGAAAGAATTTCAAAAATTGCACGAATGCGTTCCCCAGGGAATTGGTTTGGAGGAAACCTTCGGCCATGTGGTTTTTGGATCAAGTAGGTAACTTACACTGGGTGCCCACGTGCCACCCATCCAGATGCCTGGCATGATTAATTACTGGTCATCAGTCTTCTCCCCACACCATGGACAGAGAGCACAGCTGTCTTTGGCCAAAGACCATATTCAAACAGGTCACAGAGAGAAAAGAAATTATCTGTCCTTGTGGAACCCACAAAAGGTAAAAAAAAAGTCAAAGGAGTAACAGCTTCAGATCAGACATAAAATCCAGTCTCTGGTGGAGGATAGAGTGAAGTGGAGGATGGTTTTAAGTTTGGTTCGAGCGGGAACTCGACCAAAGTAAAGTAAGTAAGTATGTCATCATAAAATCTATATTGCTGGGGAAGAACGGCTGATTCCTCCTGTACGTGTATTTGGTATATTGCCCCACACCTCCTCCGCCCAGCCTGTAAATTTCACTATGTGCATGACTTTATAACATAGGGAAATATGTTTTTCTGATAATTGTAATGTAGATTGCTAGCTCCACCACATGAAATAATATATATCATTCAGTCGTCGCCTTGGCAATGATTTTTATTGCCTCAGCCTTGTTCTTCATGTCTTGGAATTTCTAAACTTTTCGCCGCGATATAAGTACACCTCCCTTATCGGGTCCTCATAAACGCAGCTGAGGTAGAAATCCTGTTTCAGCGTGTTCAGAAAGTCTTCGTCTGCCGAAAACCGGATCCTTCCAGCCAGCTGCAGGTACAGAACCGTTTCCGCTCCGGCGAGGTGCATGATGGTCTTGTGCAGATCCGGGAAGGTCTCATCCTTGTAGATGATGTCGGAGCCCATGATGTAGTCGTTGTGCTGTACGCCGAAGTTGTCCAGGTCGGCTGTGCCCACCAGGCGGCGCACCACCGGCGCGTGCTTGGCTCGCAGCTCGGTGTTCCTCGGGACGTTTCCCCAAGCGTACGTAGGGGAGCTCGAGAGTCTCCCCGCAGTCTGTGGTCGTCACTTTGGCACCTGTTTATACCAAGAAGAGTACTCTATAAGTTTCACTTCCGTGAATAGCTTTCATCGCTGCTATAGATGCATTCCCAAACGTAAAATATTTACATATTACCTACGCATATGCGTTCTTACAGGGAACTGTATCTACAATGCGGTCCCCAAACGTCCTATCTCGTAGAAGCGACAACCAGTCAGCCCTGAGGAAGGTGACAGACGGTCACCGAAACGTCGGCTGAATAAAAAATTTTTTTGTGTGAAAAAAGTGTCTTTTTGCTCCATACGTTTCACTGTCTGAAAGTGGGATCTATCAATTATGCGGGCATGTCTCCGAAAAATGCTCAATTTCCCCACTCTTTGTAAATAAACCCTTTCAAGAAAGTTGAGAAACTTGGCTTTTGTCAGTCATATCCCCAGGTGTTCTGTCATTATTAGAGTAGCTAGTGTTGATGATAACATAGGAAATGTTGTTTTTGAGAAGTGAGCACCAGATGCTGAATATCGTGAGAAAACTTACTGACGGTTTGTCGATAAAAAACAACAACGCATACCGTACCAGGTGCCTTGAAAGGCTCTATTTTACTTATTCACTGAACCTTTAAGTTTAAAAAGCTGGGAAGCCCCATTCAATTCTGTCAACTTGTTTTTCAAGATGGACCAGACTAAACAGAATAAATGGCATATTTTAACAGAAGAGAAAATCATCACATTCCGGATAAAAAAAATGCTTTTCGAAATGTTTAAACAACAGTACTTGACTGTTGTAGTAACAGGCAGGTACAACTTTACATAGACCTTTTAGTGCAGTGGTCCACATATGTTGGTAAAAAGAACAGGCGAAGAGTTTCGTTTAAGTCAATATTGCAAAATACCGAGCTGACATTGTCTCTTTGATGAGACATTCCTTCCTTTGTTGAGCACTACGAAGGTTGACAACAACATCGTTTGATAGACATGTGCGCAATGATGCGTTACTTTTTCTTACAAAGAACTAGCGGAAAGTTTTCTTCAAAAGTCAACACTGATCAGGCATATCGTTTCGTTTGTTTTTATTTGTTACTTTCCCATCGCTAGGAGGAAAGGTTAGGTCACACCTTGAGCACGGAATGGCAGGGAACAATGTCTACATTCAGCCTTGAGTGTACAAAACATGTTTTGCAGACAAGCATAAATCCTCGTACTTTGAAGTAAGGCGGTTGCTGATTGGATGAGTAAAGTCAAGTTCTTCCGTGTCAGACACATCGATTGGCTGGACGAAACTATCGGTGGTTGAAGAATTTGCGTTCAAGCAATATCCTTTCATTCTCACACGAACACCAACACGACTTGAGCGTCGCAGAATTCTAGGCCCGCTGAAACAAGTGAGTTTGTTTTCTGTCTTGTCGTGTCCCGCACTTCATTTCCAATAGTAGCTTTTGAATCTAAACAACATATATTTACAATAGCAAATCGCAATGATGATATTTCATCCCTGATCTACTTGTATCAAGGAATGTCAAAATTGGCAATACTTAGTATAAAAGTACACGATGTATCTTTAGAGTAGGGGACAACAAATACGGATGGTACTCAGGCTACACTTTACATTTACCTTGTCTTATTTGCCTATCTGATTTACCCACAGGTACAGTGTCAGATAAGTGCATGTCAAGCATGGCGACTGATAAGTCTTCCGAGATGGACGAATGCAAGCGAAATCTGCTGTACCTCTCCAAGCTAGACACCCGCTTGGGCAACTGGATGGGAGATCTACCGCCCAGACTGTATAATGCACCGCTCAAGAATCTCGCCATTCCCGGTATGTTTTTTTTTTCGGCCGGGGACATGATAAGTTCCAAGGCGGAGGAGTTCCTCCATAAGTTATCACATATACATGTCACACCTTGACCCTCTGTGAACGGCCCTTTTCATATTCGATTCCCTGCGAGAGGCTGAAAAATATGTTCCGAAGAGGCTACAATAAGCGGTTTTCAGTGGCTGTCTTCGTATACTAGACTAGTATTTGCATTCACCATACAAGTGTGTTTTCTGAGCAATATATCAAACATATCAAGCCTTCTAAAGGTAAATATTATAGCATCTTTAAATTTCCCAGTACATTTATTGACTCTCAGCTGACAAATTGAAATACCCCAGACACTACACCTATCCGTATCTTATACTATGAGTTCGTTTATTTTCGCCGGAACTTAATTTCACTGTAGAAGGGGAAGCTTTGTACAGTTACTATACTGTAATAATGTATATTGGAAACGAATATTCGCAGTAGAGAGAATATGTTCCTTTCAATTTATAATTATACGCTCTTAATTCTACCTAAAGCTAATTCTAAAGCTACCTTCGAAAAGAATTACCATTTTACAAATGTAATTTGTTCCAATTAGTTTCCCTCACCCCTCACTCCAGGAGGTTCAATCACTAGGCTTTGTGGCTGAGCCTCTTTCAATGATTTTGTGATTGAACCCCCTTTAATCATACTATAGCTGCATTAAATCAATTGATACTGATGAGTTGTGTTTGCTTGTTCCTCCAACAGGCACCCATGATTCCGCCAGTGTCTACCTGGACATCACGTCTGATATCTCACCTGGTGAGATCAAGACGATCAAGGATATAATCGATTCCTTGGCCAAAATTCCGTCACTTGGTTTAGAGCAGATTGGGAAGGATGTGGTGTACAACTGGGCCGTCACGCAAGGTTCCGACTTCACGGAGCAGCTTGAAAACGGAGTGCGGTACTTCGACCTCCGCGTCGCCACGGGAAAGAGCGACAGCTCTCTCTACTTTGTGCACGGACTGTACGGTAGCAAAGTGGAGAGCGGGTTGCGGGAAATCGCCGAATGGCTCCACAGCCACCCGAAGGAGGTCGTGCTGCTGGATTTCCAACACCTTTATTTTGGTGAAAAACCCCAGGACGAGAACATGATCACCATTCTGAAAAATACGTTCGGTTCAATGCTGTGCCCAAAGGCAATCAAGGGCAATGCGGTTGACGTAACCTTGGCCAACCTGTGGGATAACCGGTATCAGGTGATCGTGTTCTACGCCAACGAGGTTGCCGTCACGGGTCACGACATCCTGTGGACAGACAAGACGTACATCTACTCGCCCTGGGCAAACACTCCGGACATCTCAATATTGATTAATACGTTTCTCGACAATGAGTCACGCAAGGGATCCAAGTTCTTCGTGTCCCAGGCCATTCTCTCGCCGGACACGGCAACCATCCTGTTCCATTTGTGCGGCAATCTGAAGGGCAAGCTGGCGATCCCGGCCATGCCAAAGATCCTGCATTGGTTGGAGGGGAAAAAAGCTGGATACGGCAGCTCTGGGCTGAACATCGTCATTGCCGACTTTGTGGATCGTGAATTTGCACAAACTGTCATCAAATTAAACTACCCGGTTTAGCAAACCTGAGTGAGGGTGATGCTCACTATTACATCCCCTTCACACTAGAGGCAGAACGAACCAGAATGCCGTGTTAATACAACTCGTATATTCCTGGATATTTGAAATGCATTCTAGAAACCCTCAGTACATTCCAAATGAAGACAATTTCATTCAGACGCCACGTCATTCTAGCTCACCCTGTCTCTAGTTTAAAGGGTTCCCCCAGTTCTTCATTCTTCCTGGTTCTGCTTGACTCATGAACGGTTGATTCTGAGTGTAATGGAGCCTTAATCTAGCCTGGGTGCCATCCGATTTGTAACGGCTACCCCTTAATCAAGGAGTGAACATCATTCCCTTTACTCATACACATTGCAGCTCTTGAGCCAATTTTGGCTATGAGGGGCCCAGGTGTTTGACAAGTCTGTATACGTAGACTTACATGTATACTTCACGGGGCGCCCTCTTGTTCGTTTCTCCTGGAGTCCCATCACATGTTGTCCTCTAGCCTTGCGACATGCCCCTGGAGTGCCCTGCGATGTTTCTGAGTTGTTTATGGCTGTTCCTACATGTATGTCTGTTGTTCCTTCCTGCTCTCAGGTGTCCCTCCGTTTTGGTCACGGATCCGGAATTCTTCTAAATTTGATGCCTTTTATCTTTCGATCTTAAGCCTGTCCATCTTCATTTCGTGATGAAAGTATCTACTCTATGTAATACTATGTTATTGCCTTGATTCATGGCAGACAGGTTTCGATGCCAACAAGAAGTGACATAACAGAAACAGAAAGTTGTACCCAAAATTGACTCACCTTTCCCTTCAAAATGAATGAAATGTACAAGGAAGGTTGCTGTGATATACTTTACCTTTACTCATCTTTTCCTTAGACAAGAAGACAAAATATATATTGTGTAATGTTGAATGTAGAAACCTTGCTTGTGAAATGTACAAACTTAAGAATTATATTGTATGCTATTTCCTCTTCAGCAAAAAAGAAATATCCCTGTCATAAAAAGTACTCTTGTCAGTGTGGGACAAGTGTAACTTTGTGTACCATATGAATTGTTAACCAGACTACTCTACTTCTAAAATAGGGGAATTTCAAGAAGTACTAGTAGTGGTCTTGTGGTAATATAAATTGCAGTGTCAATGAGATCACTTCACTACATTGTAACTTCACATGCAAAAGTCAAAGGATCCTGTGAGAGCATGAAGCATGAATGACTCTGTTTCCTACCTACAAGTCATGGTCCATTAGCATTCTCCATTATAATTAGTTATATACACAAGTATTGGATACAGTACATGTATACAAGATAGTCTTTAAGTGTGGTGTGTGGTGTGAGTAATTATAAACGTGTAGTGCATATAATTATAATTAGTGTGGTGTATACAATAAGTGTGGTGTGTATAATTATAATAAGTGTGGTGTGCATAAAGGAATAAGTTATCTTACTTGAACTTAATTGATTATACACAATCATGTATTTTTTTCAACATTATCTAGTGTTTTTAGGATTAAATATACAATGTAAAAAAGGTACCAACAGACAAGATTAGATATTGCTATAAGGAAAAGAATAAGCTACATTAAACCAAGACAACTGATAGTAAACATTAAGTAAGTAAAGTCTGCCTTTGAGTACATAGACAGAACTAACAACAACAAAAACTGAATGAATATTGAATCATTCATATCACCAGAATGGTAGTTTTTTGCTGTTTGTTTCAAATCATAACATTTATCTTTAAGTTTAGTGTTTTACTGCATGTGCATAATACACAATTAGGACTTTTGGAAACCATGTAAGTTTTTTTGTTACATTTTATTCAGGAGACTGTTACAAAGTTTAACATACACAGGACAAAGTATATACAATGGCAAGTGGAAAACAAAAAAGGTACAACTTAACAAAAGAACTAAATAAATATTGAATCATTGATATCATACATAAAACATAGTAATATCAAAGAAATATCTCTGGCAAGTGTGTTGTTCAATACACTTTTCTGATGTACTTTTCTAATGTACTACTCTGAACAAGAAGTTTAAATAAATTACACAAAGTCAGAAGTTCTAATTAATAAGTAAAACCAGAATATGTCTTGATATAAAACTTATAATGATATGTACTAAAATGGTATTGCAAAATGCTGTAAATGTAATCTGAGTTGATTGACCATGAATAAAGTTTGTACCTTTTTGTTTTCCTACATTTGTTTGATGTGCTTTATTGTTAAATTAATAAATCTTCTATCTCCATGATCTCCAGAAAACACATCAGCAACAATTTCTTGTATTTCCCAAGCAAACTGGATGCAATAATGAAAGACTGATCATGAGGCATGTTAAATAACATAACACACTTGTCGATCACAGTAGGGATCTACTATTTTGTTCTTTTAAGATTTTAAAATCTTAATTCATAAGAAAAACATTGATGAATACTCTTTTTACTTTCCAGACAAAGAAAAACATTTCAAAGCATTGGTAAAGAACAATTTTCTGTGCTTTTTGTGCTTGTCAGGACATCTCAAAACCGATTCCCCAGAGAATGCACTGCCAGGTACAATTTTAAAAAAATTACAGATTCTACATGTACACTTACAAAACATAGGCCCCTGAGGTTTACAAAAACTGTACATTCTTTACATTGTCTTCTGGTACATGGCACTTATCAGATTCAGCGAAGTTCCTTGTGCAGTATTGTCTATGCATAATTGCATAGCACCTTCACTTGTATGAGGAAGTCCCTTGCATGCCCTTTGAAGTCTTGCTTGTAGCCCACTACAAAGAATAAGACACAGGAAAGTGGTGGTAGTGCTGTCAATTTAACATTCATGATTGATCACAATTGTACCACTCTACAATCTGGATGTCTGATGAAGATGATGACAATTGTCTTATTATAGGCCAAATTGACTTGATTATATGGGAGACATACTCGTGGGCCCTACTGTTCACCCCTTTCCCAAAAAAGTTTGCGACCATACGGTTTTTTAAGTACATGAAGGGTGACAGAGAGGGAAAGGAAAAAATAAGTAATGTCAAAGGAAGGGAACCACTTGTTAGCACCAGTCTTCAAAAATCAAAGATGATGTGAAATAACAAAAAAAAAAAGAATTAACTCCTAGGAATACCATGCTCTGTGATCTCACAATAAGGGCAAGTTTTTTTGGCCCAACTTTATACATACAATCAGATCAATTTTCAGGTGACCATCTATACAGCAACTTTAGAAGCATACCTGTCATGTCTCCTGAGGTTCTGAAGGCAGTGCGATCCCCACAGCATCACCAGTCTGGGCCTGTCTGGCTGCCTCCACCTGTTGTCTACTGCAGTAATCCTACATGTAAAAAGAATTTAAGGAATTAAACATCCGTCCACTATACTTCCATCCCGAAATATCAAGATTGGTACATGTATTGTGATTTAATAAGGAGAAAATACTCTGAAACCATTATTTTGTATTATGATTTCTCAAAATGATATCCTAATTACAAAAGGTTGTAAACCAAGAGCATATCTGGTAATATACCTCTAGGAAGATTGTTGCCAGGTTGCTGAGTCTGGGGTTTTTGGAGAGTTGAAATCTCAGCATACACTCCACTACTGAGAGACTAGTGATAGCTGTGTGGAGAAGAGGGCATAATATTTACATTCAAACATTTGTACTCTTTGTGTCATAGTACAAATGTACAAGGAAGGATTAAACTGGTACGCACGACTAAAGTTCTGTAAAGCATAGAAGATTTAAGACAGCTGCATCCACCAATAATGTGTCATACAATACTTTTGCTTCTTTCTGCATGTAGGAGGAATGACACCAAGGCTTAAATTCATACCTGGTTTTGATGCAGGTGTGGTGAGGAACATTAAGGTAGTGATGGCGTTCAGCACTGTTTCCTCATTTCGGCTGAAACAGGATCAGATACACATTTACAAATAATGTGCAGCAAACATGCTTTTTAAAGTACCCCATACCCCATACCACCAAGAAAATATACAAATGTTGCAGGGCACATAAACATCAACAAGTTTTAGGGATGAGGAACTGTTAAAATGAGAAAACAACTGAAGGAACTATAACATATTGCCGAGGTGAGGCCAAGTCACCAATCATTACATGTGTTGCATTTTGCAAGTAACCAGTGTAAGGGAGAAACCTACCTTGACAGACATTGGATAACCAGGTCCACACCTCCACTGGCTAGAATGTGTTCCTTATTCTGTTTATCTGCAAAACAGAAAAATGACATAAAATTGTCAATAACAATGTCAATATCTAAAGCAAAGCTACAGACTTTTGTGTGCTAATGAATTCAGTTCTACCACTGACAATTCCATGATTACCATTTTCAGAAAAGAAGAATTATCATACAGAAAAAACAAAAGTTACAGGTATTATAATAATGCTTCCACTTACCAAGAGCCAAATTGCAGAGACCACCAATTCCAAACTCTACCAGCCTCTCATTTTCCTCTGTCAGGGAGTCTGGCAGGCAGAAATATTTAGCATTGATTAGCATGCATTTTTACTATGATTTATCACCTATTTATGAAGATTTACCACATTAGTGGAAGGATTGACATAACAGGTGACTATCACCTCTTCAAAGATGTCAAACCCGAGACTAGACTGTAAAGTTTGAACCACTCACACCGGAAAGGACCCCTACTCTTTTCAATAAGTGCGGTGGGTTCTTTAACGTGTGTGGGGTGTGGCTCTCCCAACCTCCATTTAACGTCCCATCTGAGGGACGTCCCTAACTGAAGCTAGGTACATGTACTCATTTTCACCTGAGTGAAGTGAGGAAAGTCGTGTAAAGTGCCTATCGGTGATAAGGTGGGGTTCGAACCCGGGACCACTTGGATGCGAGCCAAAGACGCTACCGCTATGCCACACGACCCCACAACAGCATTATTTTACATGACTGTGATAAATGTAGCAAGGTAACAACTTGATATAAATATCATCTTAAACACCACTTTAAAGTAAGAATAACATTGACAGAGCTCATTTGATCCATGATACTCACCTAGAAACATGTCGATGACATTGAGTTTCCTGAGGTGTTCATAGTTGATGGGGTCATAGGCAAAATTGGCCAGGTTGGCTAAAACCTGCTCCTTGCAATCTGAAAAATATGAATGTGCAAAAAAAAAAAAAACATTTATCAAAACCAACAAGTTGATCACTGACTAACAAAGTCTGCATCTATGTTAGCACTAAGGACATTACCTACAATCTTACAAACAAATCATTTGATTACACTTTTCTGCCTCCAAACAGATATTGGGAGGGAAATAGTCACATTATAACTTTCCCCTACAACATCTGCTTGGAGATTATAAAACATTTACCAAAGATATTTGACGACAATTAGATACATACCTTCTTTATCTGTATCTTGAAACTCTGTGACCAGTGACTGGAGGTACTGTAGCCGCCCTACACCGGACGGACCAGTTTTCTTATCCAGGTATTCCTGGCTGCTAAACATGGTCACTATTCACACACAGATGCTGGGTTGATCCTGCCTTCTGGACTGGACTGTGCTTTCCATAAACCCAATACTGGATTTGTGAGGTACTTCTTGATGCACAAGAGCAAAAGTTCAAAAGTAGAAGCTTTAGATCTGTGATACAGGCTTGGGATAATTGTTAGGTATATAGTTCTTTAATCTTAAGTTTTCCCCCAGTCCCATATGCACACTGACAGTCATAATTCAGTGTGATATTTTCCTCTGCTGTGCCTGGACATGTTATACTATAGCTTGAATAGATTGAATGATGCATATTCTTCACCCAAAATCATAATCTGAACGTTTTATGATGTCTATGCTGTACAACAGTTCACGTGTGGGTCACGGGGTGACGCATGGTCCAGACCGTGTCCAACCTCACGTACAACCAACCTTGAGTCTCCCCCTCACCTCTCCGGAATGACCTCAAGTAACCCACTAGACGAATCCATTATGACGTTTATGGGGGTTCAAATAAAAGAACGCAGCTCTTTTTTCGTGAATTTTATCTATAAATATACAGTATTTTACGTTTAACTATGAATAATTATAAAATACTTATGTTATATAAATATTAAACGAAGTAGCTTTGGTAAAATAATGACTAAATGTACATTTTATGTAGAGCCTAGGAAAAAGAAACCCCCATGATATATATGGAATGACGCGCTTCCGTTTCCTGTTATTTTGATACACCCAAAAAAGTAGACATCATGGCGGACCATCGGGAAAGAACTCTGTCTGGGTCTCAGTCGGGAAAGGTGAAAATTGGCCACTACGTACTCGGCGACACCCTCGGAGTAGGAACGTTTGGCAAAGTGAAAAGTAAGTGGAAGTATCCGTGCGGATATTTTGTGGCCGGGTCGCGTCATTTTCGTGAAAATGAGCTTTAAATGTTGTTGTTGATGTTTGGGAGTTTTGCATGTGCGCTGTCTGACATGTTTTCCGTGCTACACTTTTAGCGTGGAATGCGAAGCGTTTCCCGTCGGAATTTCCGCAATTAAAACGTTTAAGAACTTCAAACTTATGTGTTTGGTGGGATATTGGGTAGATTGGGTCTTTGAAGAACTCAGAAATGGTAAAATATCCGGTTACGTTGGGAAAAGTGGGCTGATTTATGGTATGCAAATGAGGGGGAGTGGCATGGCGGGAAATGGTGGAAAATCAGCGCAAATTGTTACACAGAAATGAAGACAAAAGTGTCTAGACGTCCCCAGACGACGTCATGGCTTGTCCTCCACTTGCCCTTAAAGAGTGTGATTAAATTTTGACTGGCGGCCAAGTTGCCATCAATCAGATATTTTAGATTTGAAAGGATCAGTCTTGATGTTTATAAAGAAAACATGTTGTGGCCAGCCAAACAAACAACCTTGTCGCAATTGTAAACAAACAAAAAGGTAAACAAAGGATAGGGTCTATGTTTTTTTACCACAAACGAAATTCATGAAGAAATTTATCCTATATTGTATCTCGTCAGGTCATCTTTGCAGTGTACTCTATGGATGATGTCACCATCTCAAATTGTATTGTGATTTATTAATTTTATTCAGACTTACTATTATACAAAACAATAAGATAAATTCTGTCTTAAAGTTTGTGAGAGACTCAAACTCAAAGAGATGGGGGTCAATGTTTTTGCAATTGTAAAAGATGGAAAGAATAATTCATAATTCAATACAAGGGTATACTACTATAGACAAAGCCTTCCACCCCCTCCTTGTACCCCGAAATGGAAGAGCCCCAATCTATCTATGTTGGAACATTTTACCAGATGTTATAAATAAAATCATATACGTAGTCTTGCTGTCTGCAAGAAAATTACATCAACATCCTATAATATTGGTTATTTTTGAAATCAAAATTGTGTCTGGAAAATTACAATGGAACGATACAGAACCAGAAAGGATGATGACAAGAAGTTTGTATTTAAAAGGTAGGGAAAGGGTGTGGAACATTCTTGGCCCCCACAATTTATACATAGAATAGCCTGCTGTGGAAATAAAGATTGACATTCTTCTGTCTTGCTTGAACATTGCGTAATCTTAATTCACACTATGTCATATATTTACGAAATGTATTGTTTAATTTGTTACATCCATTTTATGGTGGTATTGTTTTGGGTATGTGTGTCAGTATGTCTGCCTGTGTTTCCACGTATTTGTGGTCATCATAATCTGGAGTCTGGATGGATTCATCATTATGATATTTGGTATGTGGGTAGGTCATGGGAAGCGGAGGTCGATCATGGGCCTTTATTATTACCACACAGAACTAATGAATATTTAATTGTGTTTGTATACTAGTTGGAGAACATGCCCTGACTGGTCACAAGGTGGCTGTGAAGATCCTGAACAGACAGAAGATCAAGAGTTTAGACGTGGTGGGGAAAATCCGGCGGGAGATCCAGAACCTCAAGCTATTCAGACATCCGCATATCATTAAACTGTAAGTGTTGGTGTGGTTATGTCTAGTCATTGCTGTAGCCACAGCTAGGTTCTTTTTTCCCTGTGAGCTGAGTAAGGACAAGCCAACTATCATTGTTAACAGCAAACCACAATGTAGGACTAGGGAAATTTTCAGAAATCGAGCAAATCGCCATTCCAGGTCGAAGCTATTTAACAAATAGATCCGCTGGGGAAGATGGATGCCCAAGTGTGTGGGTCTCAGAATCGCAACCTTAAACAAATGTTATCCACCTTAAACAAATCCACGTGAAGGCCACCGTGTCAACTGTGACCCTCACTCAGGTGTAGGGACTGACACGGTCATCCTACTTGGAAAGTCTGTATCTGTATATCTGTACATGGATCTTTATCTGTGCATGAATATGATCTGTACGTGAATCTGTATCTCATTGCAAATATTGCAAATAAAGATATCGAGTGATTGCCATAGATGATCTTGAGATGGTTTTGTTGTGTATTTTGTTTTCTCAGGTACCAGGTGATCAGCACACCTGCTGATATCTTCATGGTGATGGAGTATGTGTCCGGGGGAGAACTGTTTGATTACATCGTCAAACATGGCAAGGTACGCTGAATTTTAAAAAAAGTATATTTACACAGGGTTGGACAAGTCCCATTGCCCACTTGCCCAGGGCAAGTAAAAGCACTGTTTGGGCAAGTAAATATGCCCCTGTACTTGCTCGATTTGGCAAGTAAAGTTTTTGGATTCAGTGTTTGGAGCTAAGTTACACATCATTTTCAAATAAAGATATTATGTTGATACCAGTCAAAAATATGCCCTTTTGTCAGAAAAGTCTCTAAGTACCCTTATATTGGTAAATAAAGCAAGCAACATTATAAACTTTAACGTACTTTTGAAAAATAGAATAATTTCCTTTCTGCAAGTAAAATGCATACAAATACGTCATATTTTGGGCAAGTGAAAAGTTGGTTTGGGCAAGTGGAAATAAACCTGTACTTGCCCGATAGGATTTTTTGAAAACTTGTCCAACCCTGTTACATCTACCATATGGCTTACACAGATCAGGAACATTCCATTTATAAACCTCAAAAGGGGGTAGCTTGTAAAATTCTCCCTTGTGAAAGTAGACCTAAACCCACGTTCAGGTCCAGGTCCGGATTCAAGTCCAGAGGTTTAGGTTCAGGTCGGGACTTGTAAGTTTGGACCTAAACCCAACAGGCCGAGGGCATATACAAAATACGGAAGGGACTTCTCAGTTAACATTTCCCAATTGAAAATGGGGCATCGTTACTGCAAAATTCTGTAGCGAGCACTGCACTACCAGGGTTTAGAAGAAAGATATGTTGTTTGCGGGGCACGTCTGGGCAAAACTGTGCCACATAATTTATTGAGGCCGACACTTGATGATGCCCAATGGCAATGTTTTCTTCATTTTGCAGTGCAAATTTTTGACTACTTGAAGATGTCAGGTGGTTCAGAACAAAAAAGGCAATGTGACATAAGTCCGGACTAGTTCCGGACGTTTATTTTTTTTTTTGGACTTGAACCTAAACATTTTTACAAGTCCGGAACTTGGTCCAGCAAACCAGTACACAGCACTAGCATGTTGTATTCACAGTGTTCATGATTTGTTTGAAGTTAAAACTTTTGGTCCAACACAAAAAATTCTCTCACCTAGAGCTTTTGACCAGTAACTCTGGTCTTCCTCAGTAGACTGACCCAGTGAAGCTTGTCACGTGGCTTCTTTGAAGTGTGATGTCAACACTGGGTCAAAGGTACACATGTCGGCCCCCGTCGCGGTTCAATGAAGGGTGATGGGCCCTGATGTAAATGGCTTCCTTCACCCCTCTCAAGAAATAGTGTTGTTCAGTGTCTAAAATCCTTACAGTGTCATAATTATAATGTTCATGATTGTTGTTGATCTCTCCTTTTCCCAGCTGAAGGAAGCGGAGGCCCGTCGGTTCTTCCAGCAGATCATCTCTGGTGTGGACTACTGTCACAGGCACATGATCGTACACAGGGACCTCAAACCTGAGAACCTGCTACTGGACTCCAACAGAAACGTTAGAATAGCTGACTTTGGTAAGTATTGCGCATAAAAAGAAAGCTATAAATCCACCAAGAATAAATGCATAAAAGCTAGTCCAAAGTGAAGGAAGTGAAAATACAAATGTCATATGAGATAGGGCACTTCAAAAACACTGGGAGCAAAAGAAAAATGTGTATTACTTGTAATGGTTGCACCCAAGAATTTGCCGTATTGTTTTAATGAAAAAGTACCTTGGTATAAAAATAACAGACTGTTTTGACATACACTAGTCCTGTTACTGTGGTTTTGGAATTGATACCCTAAAACTAGTGTGTCATGCTACCATGTGTCATGCCTTCAAGAGTTTTCAACCAAGGATTGAGGTCACGGCTCATTCTTTTCTAGAACTATCACAGAGTGGAACTTGCTGTCACCAAGTACAGTAGGGACATTATCACCAGATTATGAGCTTTAAACAATGTTTAGAGTTAGATATTCCAGGATCAAGGTAACAAGTCATTCGATGTTCGGTGTAATTGTAGCCAGCTGCCGCTGCACTGAGTGCCTGTGAAGCTGGAGTGTTATGCTGAAGGGCAGTTATACCCACTACAGATACAGATACAGAATGAGATATAGATACCATGTTTGTTGGCAGGCCTGTCTAACATGATGGCAGATGGAGAGTTCCTCCGTACCAGCTGTGGATCACCTAACTATGCCGCACCAGAAGTCATCTCCGGGAAGTAAGTCCCACAGTCTCATCCTGGCTGACACACTGCTATGTTGTATAGTTCCCATTGCCAATAACAACACTATTGGCCTAACGTGAATCTTTCTATGTACACAAGACATAAACTGTTGATGATATGTCAGGGCTCGAAATACTGGGTGCATGTGCACCTTAATTAGTGCACCCAAATTTGGAGCTGTGCACCCTATCTATTTCTCTGGGTACACCAGTGCACCCAAATATTTTTGTAGCTTTAAATTTTAGATGTTAAATGTATAGTAGTATACAACATATTCTTAACATCTCAAAGTGTCAGAAAAATAATAAAATCATTGCTTTAGTACTTTTCTTTAAAAATGAAACGTAATTTGTTTTTGCTGACATTCTACTTATTTTATTATTATATGGTGCACCCAGAAAATTTTTTGTGCACCCAGTTTTTAGGTTGGGTGCACCAGTGCACCTATTCCCAAAAATGAATTTTGAGCCCTGTATGTTTAACCGTGGTTCTGCCAAAGTGGCCTTTTGGCACCAAATTCATGTTGGTTAAGGGGATAGACAGAATGAAGAAGGTTAAAGTGTTTTAGGACATTTAATTGAAGGCCTGCAATGTTAGAAACAGTTCTGTTTCAATGCCCATGTTATAGTGTAGCTTTATTCTATAGTGATGTTGTATCTGATGTATGATTACATATGTGTTCTGTGTTGTTCCAGACTATATGCTGGTCCAGAGGTAGATGTCTGGAGCTGTGGAGTTATCCTGTATGCTTTACTGTGTGGAACTGTAAGTACAGTATATTATAGATGCATTCTTTGTCACCTAGAGGTGGCAAACATTTCACACACACAGTGCATTTTATACAGCAACTCAAACTTGCCTAACATGTCTTTTTTAATGTTATTACCAAGACTCATTTTCTGATTTCAGCTTCCCTTTGATGATGAACATGTCCCAACACTCTTCAAGAAAATTAAAGGTAATTTTCTCTAAGTGTGTGTAGAACATAACAAACCATTGTCTGTTTCAATGATACATGTACATGATAACATTTGCAAAGCAAATACATTATGTTTACCTCTGAATATGGTCTGCTCTGTTAATTCTTTCTTAAATACATTGATATATGTGGTCAAGCAGGAGTATAAATCCCTTCTACTATAAAATTGCAACATGATGTAACCCAACACCAGTTACCATGGTGAGAGACGTCAACAAATCAGGTCATTGGCAAGGTCAGAGGTCAGTGTTTGCAATGGAAGAAGAAGAGGAAACATAGCAAAAACGAAGAGGAAACGTAGCAAAAACGATATGTTTTCCTTTGTTAAACATAATTATTTCATGCATCTGAACAAAACTAGAGTTAGATGAATCTGCTACTGTACTTGTATTTGTGTATTGACTGTTTGGACGGAATGTGCCACTCCTACAGGAGGGGTGTTCCCCATCCCTGACCACCTGTCCCCCACCGTGGTGGGACTACTCAGGCACATGTTAGAGGTGGACCCAGTCAAGCGGGCAACCATCGCTGAGATCAGGTCAGGACCAGACACATAGAAAAACAGTCTGATGTTGTACATAATTGTGTGTTGGAAGATTTGCATCGGTAACGCTGAAGAAGAGTGATGGATATCACTCAAATGTCCGGAAGTAATCTCCGTAAAGTATTAAATTAATCATAAATTAATCTCAGTCACTGACGAAAGCTAGTGGATACTACCTGAAATGTCTGACGTTTTCAAAATCATATCCAGTTACTTGAGTAACTGCTTTTTGGGGTATCGTATTACCTGGATGTCTAACCTTCATCGACGTATTAAATTAATCAATTAAAGGACTAGGTGTAGCAGGCTAGAATGTACCCCTGTCCAGAATGTAATGTACCTGGGTATGTTTTGGCTAGTGGTATATACTGGCCTGCTACACTGGTAACATCAATCATTGACAAATATTATTTATCAAGAATTCAACCACCAAAATATCTTGTTTTTTTATTGAAAATACCAAAATATCTGCTGTTTTTTTATATAATTTGTTAACATGTGACCTGTGCTTAGCCCAGTGTGTCAAAATGTACAATAAAGGTCTTTATTCATTTATTTTTCAGAGAACACGAGTGGACGAAGATTGACATGCCTGCGTACCTGTTCCCATTGGACGAGCAGGACACTAACGTGGTAGACTACGACGCCGTGAGGGAAGTGTGTGAGGTACTGCATGTAAGGATCTGGGCAGCTCATGGCAGGGGACAGCTGTGGTTTCTCTTCTTCAGTCAGCACACATACTGTACTAGCAAATATAGCATAGAACAAACACAACTAAAAAAGACTACACATAACTTACTACATCTTTTAACATAGTTTATACTGGTAATATTCTAAAAATTGTGTTTTTTTTTTCAAATGAAAAAAAAAGTTGGAATAGGAAGCTAGTTTTAGATCTTATATAGTCTGTATTATTTTCCAGTTTAGTCTTTTCCTCTAGGAGCTTATTTAAAATTTTTTACTGAAATGTAGTCAATCTACATGTAGAACTTAGTCTAATAGAGTAGTTAGTAATACATGTAGTAGTGTTACACTTACATAACCCAAATGTTCTCAAAGTTAGTGTAAAGATTTTGCGGCTAGTGTTCTGGACTCTGGATCTTAAGGATCTGGGTCGGAATCCATAGCAGGCCCCAATATTATGTCCCAGGGAAAGGTGTTAAACACTAATTTCCTTACTTGATTCAGAACACTAGCTTCACTTAGTGACCTCATCTCAGATGAGACATTACTGTAGGTCGTGTTTGAGGAGACTCACACCTCGAGCATGTGAAATAACCCACCACACTTAACAATAAAAGTAGTGGCTCTCCAGTGTGAGTGTATCAAACCTAAGGCCACAACAATTTAATTTGTTGTTTCTCAGATTTGCACTGTCCATTTTTTTCAGATGTGCAAAAAAAAAAAGATTTTAGGTTCTGAATCAACTGCAAAATGCTGAATGTAAGACATATTTTGGCCCCAACAGTTGAAGAAAGTCCTTTTTCTTCCTGGTTGTTAAAGTTTTTCAATGTAACAGTGCAACTTCGTTTCATTAAAAGGTCAAAATCCAATATTGTTTTGATTATAAACCAGCCTGGTATGTTGACTTCATGGCTCATTTCATAACATTTCCATCCTTCACGCACCCGGGGTGCCTTGGCCTTTTTTTTTTTCGCTTCATATTTTTTCTGAAAATAATCTGAGAAACAACAAATTAAATTGGTGTGGCCTAACCTACATGTTCCTGGCCTCACCCTCTGTTTCTCTACAACAGAAATTTGAGTGCAAAGAGACAGAAGTCATCAGTGGCCTCCTGGGCGGGGACCCTCATAACCCGCTCGCCGTGGCGTACCATCTCATCGTGGACAACAAGCGCATCGAGAGAGAAGGTCAGTAACTGTTGTAGTTCTCACATATACTGTTGTAGGTCTCTCTCTGATTAGGCCACACCATCTTGATTTTATGGATGACATCCACGCACGCATTGATTTTCACCTGTGTAACGTGTAGCGTGCGTAGTCCAGTGGTTAGCGATCCTGCCTCTGCACTAAGAGGTTGGGAGTTCGAATCCCGGCTGATGTCGCTCACTCGACATGCACGCTACTGTTTAGGATCGCAGTCCTTAGGACGGGACGTTAAGCCGTGGTCCACTGTTCATTGTGCTTGTCGAAAAGAGCTAGGGAAGTTTCCCCAGTACAATGAACCTGTAAATACTGTACATAGCGTCTGTCTTGTCTCTGTCATGACCAGTGGAAGATTAGCTCTTCAATGAGCTAAACTGGTTCGAGATAACTTTCACTTTTACCTGTCCTCAAAAAAAAAAAAAGATCACGTCCTCTGAGGCTCTGGCCTGGCTGTAGGCCATACAGTACCTACATGGTAGTTAGCGACAATAGGGAGCCGGTGGTAACTCTGGAGGATGGCACCCAGGCTGCCGAAGCTCCACGACTCAAGATCTCAGTACATAAGTACAGTGCCGATTCATAAAGTCCTTCATGTGTGGGCTTGTCCTATACGTCGCTAAGTACTGCCGCAAATTCACAATACCAACTTTGTATTCTTATCGTTTGGTAGCATTTTTATTTTGGGCCGGAAGTTTTTTTCATTCGCCCACGCACAATGCCGATTCATAAATTCCACAACATGTGCCTCGCTATGTACTGCCGCAAATTCAGGATACCAGCTTTGTATTCCTGTGGTTTAGTAGCATTTTTATTTTTGGCCGGAATTTTTTTTATTCGCCCGCGCACACTAGTTTGGGGATCTTCAGAGGGTGTCATCCATAAAATTAAGTTCGTGTGGCCTTACTTTCAAACTTCTGTTTCGTCTGTTTGAAACATACATGCTAAGTAAGTGCCTAAGATTTTGAATGACTTTACTAGTAATATCTATGACTCCATGATTTGCTCTGAACGTTTTCCAGGACAATGTCCTGTAACATTAATGTGATGTCTGAAACAAATGTTCCAAAACTCTTGAATAACTATCTAGTAATAAAGCTTAGTGTACAATAAGCTGAAATAACAGCAACAATCTATTTTGACTTTATGTTGTAAGGTTTGAAGAACATCTAATACTAAATGCTAAAAAAACACAATTATAGTTCAGTGAATATTGGTTGGCATCTTTTTTCCTTGTGTACATTTGCATGATTAGTCCACATTCACTGACACCCTTTCTCTTTGTTTTCTTCTGTTCTTTGCCTTTGCTACATGTTTACCTGAACCTGTTACCCCCCTCCCCCCTCACAGTCGCTAGCTCACGGTCCATCTTTCTTCGCAGTGCATCGGTACCCGCACATGGTAACACCCCTACATGTCCATTCATTCTTTCTGTTCTACTGTGTCTTACTTTAGAACACTCTTTCTGCAAATAAATTTCTACCAGTGTAACAGGCAGAAATGCACCCCTGGCCAAAATGTACCCAGGTGTAATGCTGCATACCGGTTCACTGGACTTGGATCCGGACTTGTAAGAATGTTTAGGTTCAAGTCCAAAAAAACCTAAAAGTCAAGAACCGAGTTCGGACTTATTACCATAAAAGACCATTAAACATACCCCTTTTCTATCCAAACCACCTAAAACCTTCCGTAGATTGCAAAATCTTTGCTGCAAAATGAAGAAAACATTGCCATCGGGCATCGTCAAGTACCAGCCTCCATGTTATGTGGCCAAAGTTTCACCCAGACAACATTGCAAGGTTGCCAACATGCAATTTTGCATATGCCATGGGTTTAGGTCCGGACTTACAAGTCTGGAACTGATCCTAAACCTCTGGACTTGAATCCGGACCTGAACCTAAATGTGGCTTTAGGTATGCAGCACTACTCAGGTGTATATTCTGTCCAGGTGTATTTTCTGACTTGCTACACCTGTTTAATGTGTGGCTAGCAGTCACTGTCGTAACCTTTAACAGAAAGTGACACTCTTATAAATTTCTTACCAATAGTTTTTTAGCATCAAATAAGATCTGCTGTACCTTCTATCAGTAAGACACTTTACAGGACATTTCTTATAGTTTTTTGTTTTTCTTTCACAATTTTTGTTTTGTTTGTGTTTCTTCCAATTTGCATCAGTGATTCTGGTTTGCTTCATTTGGAACCTTTCTTTGATTCTCTGTCATTTCTTTCTTTTTGTCATTTTTCTGTCCACCGTTCGCATAGAGTTGAAAAAATGTGTACAACAGCTTCAAGGTACATTTTACAGATCTGTTTTGCAGCTCCAAATAAACAGGATTTCACATAATAGAAAATTATAATGCAAGTTATAATGCAAGGCTACCTTTCTTAATTCCATACCAAATCATCAAGTAGCTCAATTATAAACAGCCAATGTTCTAATATTGTTTCATAGCAAATTGCTTGGAACAAGAGGTGTGTCTTTCCTAAGTGTTTGTGAAAAAGGAATGCCAGTGTTCAGTGCCAGTTTGCAGTGTTGTGTGTGTTAAAAAATTTGGACAGCTCTTGCAAGACATTATATCCAAATGTTGCTTTCCTAAAAACAAAAGGAATGAAGTTTGACATAATCATTAGTTGCTTTCAGATTAAGCATCCTAAAGTTAAAGCTGCCTTAAACCAACCAACTTATCATGGTAGTTTCTGTAGAATCTTGCTTTTAGTGATGACCCTTTTGACCTTCAGCTGCGAAGAACATGAAGATGAAGGACTGGTACCTGGCGACCAGCCCCCCTCCCGAGACCTCCTTCATCGAGGAGAGAATGGTACGTATCTGATTGCATAGATATACTGTAAACATGTATATGTACATGTATGTGTATTGAGTGGGAGGTGGGCAGGGCGCACTGTCCTGAAGGGGGGGGGGTATACTTTTTATCGTGTGTAAGGCCACACCAATTTGATTTGTTGGTTCTCGGATTTGCCTCTTCATTTTTTTTGATTTGCAAAAAAAAAAAGATTCTGGTTCTGAATCAACTAAAAATTGCTCATATTTTACCCCCAACAGTTGAAAGGCCTTTCTAGGTGTTAACGTTTTTTAATATATCAATGCTTGATTAATATAAGTTCAAAATTCGTTGTTTAAATATTAACCCAGTCTTTTGCGTTGACTTCATGGCTCCTATCATAGCACTGTTTTCATTGCTCCATATTTTTTTCTGAAAAAATCCGAGAACCAACAAATTAAATTGGTGTGGCCTAATGTGAATTATATTCTCTAGTCTACAGTTTTGGTTCACAGCTATGTTTTCTTTCTGTAGGGTTAGAAACGTGAGAAATTGTCTCTTGTCTCTATTATAACTGGATGAAAGTGTCCATCCAGTAGTAGTAGACTTCAAAAGTATGTAGAAAATTCTGGAAAAAATAGTGTCTATGACAAGGACCGGAGTATAGCTAATTTGAGTGTAATTTTTCTTTTCTTGCCCACCCTGAAGGCTGACAAGGTAGGATATCTAGAGTATATAGACTCTAGATCTAAGAGTTCACCACCTCCCAAGTTCATACGAAGACACTTTCTCAATATATAAATCAGAATACTAGTATTTCAGATAAAGCTATTATATATACATGTATCATCATATACTGGAAGGATGACACAAAACCACAAAGTATTTTGCATCAGATACTTGCATTGTATACTAGAGTCCAATTTGAAAGTCTACTGTTTCTGTGATCATTGAAGACCAAAGGCTAATTGTCGAATTGTTCTGGTTCCTTTACCTGATCTTACAATGTACATTTACGTACAATAGAGTCATTCATCTGTTTATTTGTTTATTTTGATTTTTCACAAAGTGAAAGGGAGGGCAAAACGGTTGCATACGCACCTTTACAAGTTGCCCTCCCCCATATTTAGATACCTTGGTGGAGGTGGTTAAGTGCGTGGGGAGTGTTATGCGTGTGTTACGTTTGTACTCACAGGTTGCTCCTCCTATCTCGCCCCTCAAGCCTTTCCCGGACAGACCAAGTAAGCCGACAACTTCCACGTCTCTCATGTAGTGCACATCCTCGGTGAAACCTTTCTCGTTATTCAGCTTTTCCCAAATCAAAACAATGATCTTGTATTGTTATGCAGAAAATGTGATTGTGATTGCATGTTTTTTTTTGCAAGCTGAAATCTTTAAAATTGCAAAATTGCTGCGTGTGTTTTTCTCTTGAGTAAAAAATGTCTGAACATTTTGAAATGTGCAGCTTGAGTGTGTTCAAAGTAATGCGTAGGAAGCATGCCAAATTGCTGTAGTCAAATATCTGTACTATATACTATGTACTTTTGAATTGAAAATTGCATACTTTGGGAAAAGGTCATCTTGAATTTTTTTGGAGACTTTGTAAAACCTGCACAACTATTTTAATGAATCAGATGCTGTGTGCACTTTTTTGTTTTAATCAAAATATGCACTTTCTAAATATGTCTGTCATTAGTATCACACTCTGGTTGTTTAAAACAATAAATTGAAGTACTAAAAATTATGTACAGGAATAAGGTTAACCAAGGTTACTGATTATAAAATAGCCTCCGTAGCAGGCTTATAGAACTGGGGGTTTGGTGGTCTTCGGCTGTTTTCTTATAAGCCCAGTTCAAAAAACGGGGGTAATTCAACCAGGTCGGCTATGTTGTCTATATGCAATCAGAAAATAGCACATAAAAGCTCCCAAAGACCCTGAAGACCCCCAAAACCCCCAGTTTTTGGCGTGCTATGGAGGCTAATTATAAAATATGTATAATTAATTATATTAACCCTTTATAATTGTACACATCATTAGTAAAAGACGTAGTGTGTTCACCACTTAAACTGTGATTTGAGTCATCAGTCTCAAACTGTGATTTGAGTCAGAAGTTTTCCAGTTCTGGTTCCTAAATTCTGCCTCGTTCTGTCCCTCCTATATAAGCTCGGACTTCGCGGCCCACATCAGGAGGGAAGAGTAAGCACTGTTCCAACTTTCACTCCGACCAGGCTGTCTCTAGGTGCATCCACTGAGTTTTAGTTGACAAAAGAAATTGTGAATTCGAAAGGTTTCTATCAAAAAGATTGGCCAAAACATGTGATAAGTTGTTGAAATGTGAATTCAAAGGGTTGCTATCAAAAAGATTGGCCAAAACATTTGATAAGTTGTTGAAAACTGTTGACAAAACTGTTGACAGAACAGTTTTTGTAGAATATTTGGAAACCAATATTTAGGAATCCATCCAGAAGACCAGACAAGCAAAAGTGACACCTGGAGACAACCTTGGTTCTTCTACATTCTTCATATCACAACTCAAAAAGTTCACAGAAAATGTTTTTTAGTAGCCATTTCTGGCAGTGTGACACATAATTAACAATTGATAGAGAAATAATCAATAAATGACACAGAAAACAATTTCTTTCTAGTGCAGAGAAAAAAAAGATCTCTTGCAAAAATTTTTACTGGCATCATTTGCCCTAACATTTTGTTTGAGGATATTAATTTATTAAAAGTAATCCCTACTAATTGATGTCCTTTCCTTTTATCATAAATGCATAAATGACAAATTTATCTAAAATATGTTTCAGAAGATGAACTCTTTTGATCCTTAACCAGATTAACAATGTCCAAAAATTCCTATCCTCCAATGAGTGAAAATCACCCGTGGTAACAATTATGTACTGTCAATACAAGCATGCCCATAGCCAGGATTTTGAATGGGGGGTTCTTCCCACTGCTGGAGGGGACCTCGAGCGCCAAAGGCGCGAGGTTCCTAGGGGGGTCAGGGGGGCATGCTCCCTCGTAAAATTTTGAAAAATGGACCTTCTAAAATGGCATTACGTGCGTTTTTGAGAGGACTTCAAAGAAAAAATCAGATAAATTTTTATTCAATGACAAAGGGAGCAGTTTTTCTACGATTCCAATCTATCTTTTCAAGAAAAATCTTGGACCTTTACATAAAAAGTGGACCAAAAAGTGGACCTTTACATAAAAAGTGGACCAAAAAGTGGACCTTTGAGCCTTGTGGGGGGGTTCTTCCGAACCCCCCGAACCCCCCTGGCTACGGGCATGACATGTTTACTGGTATCTAGTGTCAGTTAACAACATTAAGAGAAGGCTTGTTAACCACTAACTGCTAATCTTACTAACAAAACAGAGTTGACTAATCTGTGTTTCTCATTTCTTGTACTGCTCAATTTCTCAACTCAACAGCCTTGGTCCAGCCTTCGTCTGCTCTGGACACTCTCATATCCACGGAGAGACGGCTACCAACCCCGTCCAAGAAGGCCAAATGGCACCTAGGTAAGGGCCTGGTCACTTTTGTAGTGCTATTGTTTTATCATCACAAACTGAAGACATTCTTGGCAAAGTTGTGCATGTGTTGTACAAATTCAGCCAGGTTTTTAGCTAGGATTTTTTTGTTGGATGTCCTTTTTTTTATTGTATGCTATGCACAGCAAAGACGTGTGATGCGCAAGCTTTTTTAGGGGGGCTTTTTTGAAATTCATAATGCTCTCAAACACTACTTTCTGCATTTTGAGGTGCAAATTTGAGTTTTTTTCCTTCAGTAAACCATCTTTTTTGTATTGGTAGTAAGGCTGAAGGGAGGCATGTGTGCATGGCAGGGGTTGGAAAAAAATAGAGCGTCTTTAGGGTGTCCTACCAAAAAGTAGGGAGTCCAATTTCTTCTATTTTCAGTATAGGGCATCCAAAAGACACCCTGGAAACCCCCTAGCTAAAAGCCTGAATTCAGCTGTCTTAGATTCTTGTTGGCAGTTAGTTTTGTCACAGCCTGCATAAAACGTCCATGACTGTATGATGTCCATCAACACAAGACTGCACCATAAAATATCTGCTGCGTTCATTTTTAAAAAGCACTGATAGCCATTTTACTGACATATATCTTGAATTTTGCAAATCTAGCACTCTATATTGTTACAAAATGATGTTGGACAACCATCTGAATCTATTGGACAACCAGAGACAGAGACAGAGAGAGACAGAGTTGTTATTGCTTAGTCCTTAGACACTGCATACATGTATAAATGATTCAAGTACAATGTATCTTAAATATTGTATGGTCTCGCTGTATTCTAGGTATCCGCTCTCAAAGCAAGCCCCATGACATCATGAGTGAGGTGTACAGAGCCATGAAGCAGCTCAACTATGTAAGTCACATCTTCATGGAAATATTTACTTGCATTTTCAATGTGCAAAGACAACAAGGCCACATTTTAAGAAACGTTAGTTTCAAGGCATGTACTTAAAGATTTTTGTTACTCATGATTCCCTTTTCTTCCACAGGAATGGAAAATGGTTAACCCCTTTCATTTGAGAGTAAGGAGGAAAAACCCAGTGACACAGAGATATGTAAGTTTTACCTGTTATGATTATATCAACAGTACAATCTAAGTACTGTAACTACATGTAGAATTGCTTTGTGGCTAATGCAATGAGTATGATTGTGTACATATATTTTAGTTTAGGCCACACCAGTTTAATTTCTTGGTTAACAGATTCGCCTGCTTCATTTTTTTCTGATTTGCAAATAAAAATAAAAATTCAGAATCAAGTTGTTACAGTTAAAGTTCAAAATTCATTGTTCAAATTTTGAACCAGCCTGGTGTGTTGACTTCATGGCTTCTATTGTACCATTTTGGGCCATAATAGTAATAGGATGCCTACACCTGTTTTTATTTATTTTTGCCCGCCCGCTCCATTATGTTTCTAGAAAAATCCGTTAACCAAGAAATTAGATTGGTGTGGCTTTAACTTGTCCAAGAAGAAATATTGTGTGTGGTACTCCTGTTAACTTATAGACACTAGCTGTACATTTTGTAGGTTGTTAAAACATTCTGGTACATTGTCTATTGGCCCTGTAACCTCTGATGTTTGATCGGCGCCCCCTGGCAGGCTAAGATGAGTCTGCAGCTGTACCAGGTGGACCAGAAGAGTTACCTGCTGGACTTCAAGAGTCTCAGCAATGCTCCTGACCCAGAAGACGGAGGAGGAAGCAGTACGTTTGCATTTTTGTCTTCCACTGTACCTTGGGGTAATTTGATCCTTGAGGAAAACCATTGAAATACCTGTATTAATTTTGGCAAATTTTCACAATTAGTTATAGTATTTGTAAATTAATATTTATAATTACCTAATACTACCCTAGTAATCAAGTGACATTTTGTGTTGAAACTAAAAAAAAAAATGGAAAAAGAAAAATGGCAAAACCTTAAAATGTGATAAGAAATTTAACAGGAATCAAAAAGAACATGAAGTAACAAATGACAAGTTTCTTATTCTTGAACTTGACTGACAGGTAGATTATCCATAAAATCATTGTAGATAAACTCACTTATGTCACGTATCCGTTAAGTCTCGTGTGAATAACGTCACGTGTCTGTAACCGTAACTCTCGCAAGTTTATGATCAGAAGTGATTGGTCATTAATTATCCTGATGAAGGCGACAGTGGTCGTTGAAAATTTGATCTCTATGTAATCTTTGTGTTGGAATAAAGTTTAACATTTTACTATGATTACTTATTTAGTCTACCAACACAGATGAACTTTCATGGTAATCATTGTAGATATTCGTTGATGAAGGTTAGACATCCAGGTAATACGATATGCCAAAAAGTAGTTACTCAAGCAACTGGATATGATTTTGAAAACGTCAGACGTTTCAGCTAGTATCCACTAGCTTTCGTCAGTGACTGAGAGACCAGAGGGGAAATGCAGGTTCATAAGCACAAACTATTGTTCCTTTTACAACGTTTATAAGCACAAACTATTGTTCCTTTTTCGACTTCCCAAAATTTGTCTTCACTTTATTTGCATATCAATCAATAGTTTGTGCTTATAAACCTACATGTACATTTCCCCTCTTGTCTCTCAGTCACTGACGAAAGCTAGTGGATACTAGCTGAAACGTCTGACGTTTTCAAAATTATATCCAGTTGCTTGAGTAACCGCTTTTTGTCGCATTGTAGATATTATCCATGACCTAAGAATGAAACCCTTTGTCCCCCCCCTGCCCCCCAGGTGATGGCAGCAGACCGTCCACCCCCTCAGGCAGTACGTCGTCCCTGGTGACCCCCACCACCCCCACGGGGAGTACCCACCCCCAGCAGACAGGCACGCACCACGCCTCCGCCGGCGTACACCACACCCTGGAGTTCTTCGAGATGTGTGCCGCCCTCATCACCACCCTGGCTCGCTGAGGAGTCACTCACACATGAACGGGTTACTGTACATCACTTAAAGGCATCCAATGTAATTTCAAGGCAGCAAAACTGGATACATTCTGAATAAGGCAATCTTTGTGATATTGACACATACTGCTTCTTAAGTCAGCATTTCATCTGTATCTGTATCTGTATAGCCGGTATAACCGCCTTTCAGCGTAACACACCAGCTTCGCAGGCATGCGGCGCGGCGGCAGCTGGCTATATTACACCGATTGACTTGTTACACCTAACCCTTGAACTTCTAGCTCTAGACTTTGTTTAAAGCTATCTATTGACAATGTCCCTACTGTACTTGGTGACAGTGAGTTCATACTTTGGGCATTTTAAACAGAAGACACAAGATCCAAGATGAGCCCTTTATTTTCTGGGTGGTACCCTAAAAATTAGCCCAGGCCCCCTCCAGTAAACATTTTCCGTCATAATCTTAGTTTGTAATTTTTGCTCCACGAGGGTCAACATACATTGGGCTAGTGTCGTTTCAACCCTGTATGTAGATAAATGGCTAGAATATTGGCTTTAAAAAATCCAGTTTCCAAGCCCTAAAAACTGCACTGGATGCCTTTAACATTTGTGGTAGCAAAATTTCACTGTGTGAGAAAATAAATTCCTGTTTGCCAAAGTATATGTTCACGTTGGCGGCAGGTGCAGAAGAAAGAAAGTTGGCCAATTATTTGTTCACGGTACAGAAGTGACCGCGAAAACTGTGAAAGTACCATGAATGTACAGTGATGTACATGTATACAGAAAGTCTAACTCAGTTAGTCCAGTCCAGTCTAACTGGACTAGACAGTCCAGATGAAAATCTGAAGAAGGAAACAATGGGCCTACTGAAGACGGCTTACAGTGTGTAAATAGTGTTGGAAACACAGTTGTGGGATCTGTAGAAATGCCAGTGTCTTATTTGGCAGTTTGAAACAGCACACATGCACAAGACATGGTTTTATCTCATTTTAAATCAGACATTGTCACAGCACAATCTGACACCATAATACTGTCCTTGCACATATAGCTTGTGGTAAAAAAAGGTTATGGAAAGAACAATTTTATCTAATTAAAAGTACATGAGTAATGTTTATAGTAAGGCTATGATTTCATTTCATCTTTTCATTTATGAGTTCAAAGTGAGAATGTTAACTTACTTTTTGCAGACACAGGCATTGAGCTGGATGTATTGTGCTTTAAATACATGCATGTGCCCTGACCAAATTTTTACCTTTCAATCTTTATATCATTTGTAGGACAGTTGGAGCATTGGAAGTGTAAAGAAACACCAAATTTTTGTTGTTGTTTAGAGTATTACAAGGTTGCCAAAGTTTTAGACTGGCTAAAACAGTTGAATGGCATGTGTAGAGTACACTACTGAAAGAATTTTCAGTATAATTGCATCGTTATGTTCTTGGTAAGATTAACCTTCTCACTGCCTCAGTAGCCTTTTGGCACAAATGTGTACTGGTTACAGAGCAATGTAGCAGGGAGGGTGTTAAATGTGTGTAAGAAGGGCCAACTGCACAAAGATTATGCCACTGTATCTAATTGAACGTTTTTGGATCCACCACAAATGTCCTATTTTTGCTTTCTTTTGCAAAATACAGCACTAGTTTTTACTAGAAATGATACCTTAAACATATGTACACATGTAACATTAGACAAATTTGGACAATATAAAGTAATTATTGTGAAGCATAAAGTCAAATGAAAAATATTTTGTTTGCAATTGAAATATATCAGACGTCAACTGAAAATGTTTAGCAGTAGTAGTGAATTATTGTTATATGCTGATGATTATGAATCATCGTAATGTAAAAAAAAAGGCATGCGAAGATCATCCAAAATAGTAGAAAACCAGATGTGGTTACAATACAGTGTATTGGTGTGCAATGTGACATGTTTGTGTGTACTTTGTAGTGTATATATTGCAATAGAAAGGCTTGTTGGCCTATAAATATGATGCTTTAGCTATCAATAGCAAATTATAATTGTGAATATGATAAGTACATGTATCAAAGGAAAATTATTTGCTTCATCTACTCCAGGCAAGAGACTTGCTTTGCATAATATCAAACAAAGATACACGAATAACAAATTAATCTTTGCTATGAACATGTTTTGCTTTTTAGTTAGTCTTTGTAACATGGTGACATCTGTACTTATGTCAGTGACTGATACATGTACATGTACAAGATGCAAAATATATCACTTTGTGCTTGAACGGTTGAACCTCTGATTTTTTGTCCTTCTCCACACACACCCAAGTAAAGACAAAGAGGATATTGACATCGTTTATGAAGGAATCCCAAACTACTTTATCATAATTTACCCAGTAGCCATGTTGGTGGGCTCGTGGATGTTAGCAGGTTTTACAGACAGGCCACACCAATTTAATTTGTTGGTTCTTGGAAATGCGCCAAATGCTACGATAGGAGCCACGAAGTGAATACAAAAGGCTTGCTCGTAAGAAAATTCAAACTCTACTACTGGATCAGTTACGGATTTTTATTTCCGGACGTTTCGAGTGACATCCATCACTCTTCTTCAGCGTCACAAATGAACAGAGGTT